TACACAGTTTTACTCGTTAAAGATATGAAAACATTTCTATGCATTTGTGGAAGTATTAGTATAATGCAACACTGGAGTTAAACTCTCCCAAAGCCTTTTACCTTATTGTGTTATTAGCAATTATATTTAATACTCAGACTGCATAACTGAAGCAACTGTTCTACTTGCATTTATTTTTTAGTTGAAAATTCTTTTTCCCCTTAAGTCAAGTGTTACCTTTAAGCAAGACACTATCTGCTTTCTTTGGTTTAAGATTATTTTTATTTTCTGTTTTAAGATGCCATTGCAGAGACCTATTATGATTTTTACACTCAATACCATACATTTCTTTCAAATTAAAAAAATGTATTTAAATCTGAACAAAAATATTTCACTAGAAGAAAAAACACCTTTGACAGGGATCCTTCTCTTGTGCAAAACAAACAGATTTAATAACATTTTATTTAATGCCAACAGCATTTACAGGTTAAGTATTTGAACATTGACAAAACTTCCGAGAAAAAAAAAAGTCTTCTGTCTTGTAGGATTTTGAGATGACAGGGCCACTGTAACCATACAGTGTAACCTTCTGAATAAACACAGGTGACAAGAGTTTCTTAAATCACATTCCTACCTCAAGTGCAGCAGTGGCATTGAACTAGAGCTTAACTTTTAGCAAAACATCCAATTCCAATTTAAAAGTCTTCAGAGCATAGAAACCACCAAAGCTCCAATAAGTTATTCCAGAAGTAAATTACTTTGCTGTTAAAGAAAACTATTTATTTCCATTTAAGGACTTGTCATACCTACACCTACCAGATTAAAACTCACTTATCTCCAGGTCTGTCTGTTACACACATTTCACATCACTCCTTTACCTTGAAGCTTTTGCTAGGGCTTGTTCTTCAACTCTTTAAGCCTTCTTCAGATTTTTCTGAGGCTTCTCCAATTTAGCATTATCCTTTCTGAACCAGGCATACCAGAACTGAACGCAGTATTCCAGCAGCAAAAACCCACAAGTGTCAAAACCTCCCTACTTACAAATCTGTGTTTCATACAGCTAAGGATGACAGAAGCACTCCTGCTAGGTGCAGATCTTCCCTTTTGGCTTTACTGAAAGCTCAGTTCTGCCTCCATCCAGCTTAGGAAGAAGTCCAGGTCATTTCACCATCAGTGACTCAATCTTCATTATTTCATTCTCTCTCTTTAAAACATGATTGTATGTTTTCTTTCCAAGTCACTTATAAAAGCACTGTATGGCCAGGAATCAGTTTTTCCAGAACACCACTCAAAGCACTGAGCAATTCCATCTACGTTACACTGAGATTAATTTGAAATCCATTTAACCCTGTGTTGTTTTTAATTGTTCTAGTTTCTTAATCAAATCAAACATCTTACAGAAGTTTTTTACATAAACACTGCTACTTTCAGCCATAAAACCTGCAGTATCATAAGTTAGTTTGACAGGATTTAGTTTGATTGGCATTAATTAATTCACTTCTCGCTGACAGTCAGGTGAAAGAATCCCTTTGTTATCAGGGGCTGATGCCAGGCTCATCCCATTTACACTGCCTATTGGCACATCCGCAGCACTCTGCTAGGTCCCTGGAAACTCCCTAGTTTTCCAAGGCTTGTGGAAAAACAACATTAATAGCCTAGGCAGGTCTTCATTTCACTAAGCCTCATAGATGTTAGATTTAATTTTTTGGAGAGGTCTAGTTTTGGTAGCTGCTGTTTTATCTTTTTTAGTTTCCTACTGAAATGGAAACTATATCAAAAACAACACCCTCTGCCGCTTCAAAAATAGACAGCAGAAACATTAACTGAATATTAGGTGGTCCTTTCCAGTGAGAAATTTTATCGTTTCCAGACAGCTACACCTCAGCTTCTAAAACAGCCGCAGTTGTTCCTATTTAAGCTTCTAGACTTTGACAATACTGACCACAATTTCTTCTTGTATCCTTCTACTCTCCTTGTCTATTTGCCTCCATTTCCATCTTCAGGCTTGTATTTGCTACTGTACACACACCTTCCCACAAGTCATTATTTATTGCTCCTTTCAACCCTTCCTAAGTCAAAATGTTTTTCTTTAAATTAGTTAGGTTTACTTCGAAAGTACATTTTTTGCTTGCATTTAATAGATTACTCTTAGATTTCTAACCATTCATTTCTGTTTGTTTGCTCCCAGCATATTTAGCAGAATTATTTTCATCTTTAGGAAAAATGGCCTTTTTAAAGCACCTAGTATTTATAGCACTACTTACAGATTGATTTCATGTGTGCAAAAAAATCCAAGTTAAGACTACTTATTTAAGAAGCCGCTAAGTGCTGTGACCAATTCCTCTGAACCTGTCGAGATGAAGCCCAGTATTGTTTAACAAATGTTTTTAAAACTAAGTGTATGAGGTTTCAATGACTGCTTTCCAGGGCTTACCTGTTGGACAGTTTCTTACACAGGGTAAGAGAGCTTTTCAAATACTAACACATAAAAATAAGTTCAGAGTAAGACCTCGGTAGCACGAGAAAACACTGCAGATGAACCACACAGCACTTACAGCAAATAACTCAGAAGGCAAATACATACCTAGTAAAAGTGACTTTAGACTAGTGCCAGGCAAGTTTCACATAGTGATCTTCCCAGAGAGCTTTAAAACAAAAGCACTCCTTCTACCAGAACGCATGCTAGGGTCAGTAGGAGAGCACGGATCAGTTTTCCTTACCTAATCTATACCCTTTATAAAGGCGACCCTTCTCACCGTCCAGAGCGGCCTGGACATCTTCTAGACGGTCATACTGCACGAACCCATAGCCATGGTACATGCTGAGGGCTGGAAAAGTTAACAGCAGGGCAAGACCGGTTACAACTAAGGGACAGTACTAACCCACACCCAGGCCATCAGGTAATCCCACCAGAGGAACAAGCAAAGGGGCTCTACCCAGAAACGACTATGCAAGTTTCCTGGGAAAACCAAGTCTACCAGGATCAAAATGCAGGACTTAGAGACTCTGAAATATATTTTGTAGATCAACCTCCTTCTGACAAGGCAGTGACCAAAATACAGCCCATGAAGTGACCAGGATTTGATAAAGAGACTATGAAGTCACTTGAAAGAATACTGCAACATCACACTGCAACCCCAAAAGCTAAAACATAGCTGATATATAGGCATTATGTTTCAGCTGTACTGAAGGAATCACTTTTTCAGAGAAAATGCAGGCAGAGAAAATTATCATTAAAAGGTCACTTTTTAGGAGCAACATTAGTCACTCCTCTCATCATCATCAAATAGCATTTGACAAGCATGAACGTTATATTTCTCACTGAATTCCCAGCCACAAAAAGGCATAAGATAATATACTAACCCCTGATTTTGCCATATTTTGAAAATATCTCTTCCATTTCTTCACGAGTCATGTGGTCTGTGGGCAAATTGCCGACAAAAAGTCTTCTCTCTAAATCCTGAGGATTGGTGCTGTTAGTGAAGTCGCTCTGTTTGATGCTATTGCTCTTGCGTCCTCGAGCCATTTTGCTTTCGTTCCAAATCCAACTCTTCGCAAAAAAGAAAAACGGCCATGCATATAATTTCAATCCATGACATTAAAATTAAACTGGAACAAGATTAAACTTAACAGCTTTGCAGACTAGAAGCCAACTGGGTCTGCTTGACGCAAACTTCACTCCAGAGAAATCTTAATACAAGGGATACAGAGGTGTGGCAAAAACGTATACCACAGCATTTTGGTTGAGCTTTTCTGTAATACTGAAAGGTAGTAAACCTAATTATTTTGCAGATAAGTTTTAATGGTTTAACTCCAAACTAAGATACAAGTAAAACTCATTTTCCACTAAAACATCTTAACTTTAAGCTTTTCAATACACCCATTGTTGTCATATCTATTTCTTCAGTCCACTGGTAAGAAGCGTTGAAATTTATGCAATATTTTAATAAGCAGAAAGGAAACTCATCACAACATTGCATAACAGGACCCAAATATTTCAATACAGGCTTTGAACGAGACATCAGGAAGTACTGCTTAAATGCTCTTAAGTGACCACGCTCAGATCACTTTACTAAATGGGAAATCTTAGCTTTCCAATACCAGAAAACACAGTTTCTCATTCATACCCCTCCTAAACAGCATATCCTTGTCCCCATAGAGACATCAGCTCCCACAGAAGGCGGGTCCACAGCTGGGAATTTAACCCCCCCCATGTAAATGCTGTACCACTACCTCATCTCCCCCAGCATAGCAAAAGTACACTTCGTTAACCCACACTATTGCAAAGCTGGAGCAGTCAGCAACATTCACTGCACAAACTCACCCGAAGAATTACAGCAAAAAAACCCCCAACAAACAAAAAAACATCACAAATTCTACCAAGCCAACAAAAAACTCCTCCAAACCCCACCTAGGATTCATACTTCCTGGTTTAAAAGTCACCATTACATAAAGCTTAAAAAAAAAAATTAAAACCACTGAAACTTTCAAGATTAACTTGAAAGTTTGAAAACCTTTTAATAAAGTTGTCATACTTCCTAAACATTCATCTACAGGAATGCAGGATGGGATTTTCCTGTTTATAACATGCAAGAAACCTGGAAAAAGAAAGTTGATGAAATTGAGCATATCAGCAGAAACTTCTACTGTTAATCATGAGATGCCTACAACCAACATACTCCCTTGACAGTAGCCTATATTCATTACAATTTAAAAGTAGCCTCTGAATAAACAAGTCAAATATCCAAAAATATAACACAGTTTTACATAAGTACTTCTACAACACTTAACTGGCATGAAAAATATATTTACTCCAAAATTGAGACATAAAATTTGGGGGTTTTTTTGTTTTTTTGTTTTTTTTTTTTTTTTAAGATCAATCAACTTTACATTCATATCACTTTTCTCCTTCTTTCAGGAAGCCCTGCAGGGACAGGAGGCAGAGAACACCTCCCAGTCTAAAACTTTTTAAAATGAACTAAACTGCTAGAAGAGGGAGGAGGAAAAAAACCCAACACCAAAACCAAAATCAAACAAAAAAGTCATTTCTTCTACCATATTTGCCTCAACCCTCCTGTAAGTTTGTCCACACACAGTTTTACCTGCCCTGTCAGAAGTACCAAATCTTGTCCCATTTTTTCCTGTATGGAAGCACTAGACTTCCCTTCTGTTCTGCTATTGCAGCTCAAATTCTCATCAGTTGAGGGGACAGAAGTTTTCAAAATTCTCCCAAAATGATTAAGTGGCTATAAAACATGGAAACACCCATCTAGTCCAAGTTCCCATTTTGGAGCAGGGTGACATCCAAGTTGGATCCAGTTGTCACAGTCTTCTCCAGCCGGGCTCCGAGCCCTACCAGGGATGGGGACTCGGAGCCCCTGCAAGTACCTGCTCAGGCGGCACGGCCGGCACATACCGTCTCGGAACGTCACGTATACGCACAGCAAACAGGTGTCAACAAGACTGGTTGCTGCTGGCGGGACATTTCACTTTCCGTATAAAAAGCAGTAAGAAGTTCCCTTTTCTTTTTATTAAGGGTGGGAAGAGTAGGGGGTGCCTGGGGAAGAGGGTGCAAGAGCTTTCCATATGAAGAAAAACAGGGAGCTATTTTTCCACTTGCAGGTCACTTTCAAAACAAAGCAATAAATCCCAAACACTCAGACAGGTTGAATTACTAGAGAACTTCCATATAAGAGCATTTACTACCTCTTACCATTTTCTGCTTGGTAGATTACATAGTTAAGGGCCATTTAGTAATCATAAGACCAGAATAAATGAATATTGTCCCAGCTTTGGGCACGCTACACCAGGTGAACAACTAATTTCCACATTAAGTCTTTTCCTACGAGTGCAGCCGGAGAGGCCAACTATGCACCTGGGCAGCTTACAGGTGCCAAAACCCCCCCATGCAGAAACCAAGTGCCAGGCTGAGCAGGTGCCTACAACAGGACAGCCCACGTCAGCTCACGTGCCAATAAACCTTCTGGAAGTTACCTAAAGCCATGTTTTCCTAAAAATCTTATATTTAAAACCAAGGTTATTTATTAACAGTGCTACAGCTTCAGAAAGCAAGACATACCTCAAGTGGGATGTTGAAACTAATTTGACACAAACGAAACATTACGCAGAAGTCTGCAAGAAGTTGTTCCTGGGCAAGGCAAAAAAAATAAAGCCAGCCACCACAGAAAGGAACAGTGCTGAGGAGCAGTAAGCTTCCTGCCCAGCACCAGCTAGCAGCTCTCAGCACCTCGGAGCCAAGCCCTGCCAGCCAGCCACCCCATGCCGCACCCCCAAACGCCAGGCCTGGGGCCAGGAGGGCCATTCTCGGGCAGCACTAGCACCCACCCGCCTTGGTCCTCTGCACCCAGGACAGCAGGCAGACGCAGAGCCGCCCACGAGGAAAACGCTAACGCGGAGAACACTTCCACCTTCCCTCCCGAGGACCCCGCTGCTGCTGTGAGAAGGCGAGCCAGGCTGCTCAGACCGCAGCTGCCCACCCTCGCCCTCGTCGCTACTCACAGCCTTCTCAAGCAGCGGTGAGGAAAGCCACACGCCTGCCGCCTCGCTGGCGGCCACCCCTCTCGCCCACCAGGCCGCACGTGGTCCCG